CGAATCGCTGGGCGCAAAGCGCGGGCATCTCAAACACCCGCATCCCGCGTCCTACTACAGCATCAATCCACGACACGACACCAATACCACGATATCACGATGCCACGATGTTCGTGCATTGGCAACATAGTCATGGTCCACAGGTCCAAAGAGATGCGAGAGTCATCGCCAATGCAGGGCAATTTGGCAAATGCACTCGACACCGCCTCAGCAGCAGCAGCAGCACTGCGGGAGGCTCAATTGAGTGCCTCTGCTCATACCTACTTTTACTTGCCGATGACTTTCAGCGGGGGGTGCCACCCACGGCTACGCGGGCACACATTCCTGCGAGGGTTGTGGAACATGGGAATCAATTAAAAGCTGAGACAAATGATGCAGCCCAGCCCAAGCCAGCCGGCGGCCCAGACAGACTTCTCCGAACGGGATGCCACACCTCCAAAGCAAGGTTGCAAACCCACCACACGAGCCACAGGCATCCAGGTCTGCACGCGCCACGGGGAAGCCGACTCAGCCAATGCCAAGTCCTAGCCTCCAGTGGTGAAGAGTTTCCACCAGGCCTCAGAAGCCAAGCCGTAGGCCGAGCCAAGCTATTTGTGGTCGAACGGCGCGTTTATTCGATTTGCCCTTGTCGGGGACAGGACATGTCGACGTCTCTAACTAGTACGGATACTAGACTTACTTTTGCGGCCTCATTCCACGAATAAACTCGGGTTGAACTCGTCGTCGCTCTGGATCACTCGGGCGGCTGCGGCTCAGCTCACCTCCACACTGAGTCTACCAGCCTCGAACCCACCAGCCTATCGCCGAATCATCGGCCCAGAACTCCAGACACCACAAATGCCAAAAAGCACCTGCTGAATAAGACTCGCTAAAAGTGGAGACCTCAAATCCTCTCCTCGTCATCCCCCCCTCGGCGCCCCAAATGCGTGAGGGAAACCCCAGCATCGTCACGTTTTTCGCCGTGATTGGTCCGGTCAGCTAACGCTACATCGGCAGAAACCTTTTTTCTAATTTTCCTTCTTTGCTGCCCCTTGGCCTTCAACCCCTCGAGGCAAACAAAGCAAGCACCACGGCAAGCCTTCCCCACCCTCGCCTAAGGCATGCGCTAAAATACGTACCCTTAGATCGGCGCATGCCGTTGTCGTCAACTACTAGCCGTTCCAGACTATTGCCCCGGGATTACAGGCGCCCAGTGTCTAGGCGGTTTTGACGTGTCCGAATTCCTTTTTCCCAACATCACCGAGTCCATCATAGAAGTGTTGTACACCGAAATGTTATGGAAGTCATTGGGCAGCGCTGTTGGGCATTTTGACATTGCATCAGATTCTCGAACCAGATGCCTGAGCTGGCCCTGCCAAGACGAATTTGCTCCATCGTCGTTCTCGCAGATGGCAATCTTCGGGCTCGTTTATTCCGTCCAGTCACCGCCAAGAAAGCGGTAGTGACTCGCGGAGAACCAACCCCTAGGCCTACGTAAGATAGAGCCTTTGGGTGCTGCTGATGGTGGTGATGAAGCCTCTGTGCATACCATCCACCTTTGCCATGCATTGATCAAACGCACGCACACATCGGTTCGCTTTCCATTACAGAGAAGAGACGTAAGACGTTGGGATTGCAGGAACCATAAAAGAAGGGAGCAAGGAAGAGACCGGACGATCAAGGATTCCTTGACCAGGACCCCGATTCCCCGTCTCTCCCGCGGTTGTGTCATGCACAGGCGACCTGCCTCGAGGTTCATGTGTCATGTCTAGAGGTCTCTCAACCTTTTGCTCCTGGTCTCTGTTCTCGCTGCTCACCGGACGTTGCGGCTCGACATCCATCCATGTCCGTCACGCCCGACAGAAGGTCCCCGTCAATCTTAAGTTCTCAATCCCCGATGCATTAACCGTCTGGTATACGATGCGTTACCATGCCACACTACGAGGACGAGCAGACTTTTTCAGGCTCGCTCGCCACGCTGCCCTCTTGCTACGGTTAGGTGCCCAAACGACAAGCTCGCAAAGTCAGACGCCCCATCCATCAACTGTAGATAGAAGCTTCGAAAAAGACAAGATGAGACACGTCCTGAGAAAAGTGCGAGAACGGTTGGGATTTATTGGGTTGAAGTTCAGAAAAAGGGACGATGGATTTGCCTTGCTTGGTTTAGGCCTCCTCTCCTTCTCCCTCATTTCTGAAACATGACACTCGCTATCTTACTTACTCGGAGATCTTATCGATGATGCGTTTTTTCTTCTCTCTCTTCATTCTCTTCTCCTCTATACGGAGTACTTCCGCTCACTTTTTCTTCCCATCTCGGACTCGTCTCGTTTTGACCTCGGACCGGGAAATCCGTGCGCGTGTTCGATCCAAACACTTTCAAACGACTAGAACGCCCAAGAACAATCCAACACGAAAGGTATAAGGCTCCGCTAATGCTATTCCCCCCCCCCCCCCCCGACGGACTTGTTAAGTCCCTTGTGGTTGCATGAGTATCAATGGCGTCCTTGGGAGGGATACGTGTATCTATTTTGATCTATGTATGGTTTTCCGTAGGGATACAGAACAGCTCGCCACCTATCATTTGACGTGCATGGTGTGCAGGTAGGTACCGGAGATCGACGGTTCTCACATTCCTCGGTTCTTGTGTCCCGCAACTCTAAATCACTACTGGTACTATAGAAAGTCCGCAGGAACGCGCGGTGTTGGACGGAAGAGATAGTGGCGGAATGTGGTTTCATTAAAGAAAACCCAGACAGTTCCTCACGGGAAATCCAAGACCGCGTTCTTTCCTCGGGGGTTTCCTTCATTCCACTACGTGCTGTATAGGTAGGCATTCGACAGCGCGCTTTTGAGCAAGGGGGCTCTGGGCCTTTTGCCTTTGCGTTGCTTGATCTCCACATTATACCACAGCCCATGGTATGCCCCCGTGGAGGGAGGCTCAAAGCACAAGCGCCGGCTCGACTCACCACGGGATGTGTGGAGTCGTTGTCGGCCTACCTATATTCCGCGAGGCATTTGAAGAAAACTCCACCGAAGAAAGATGGAAAGATGGTCTCTCTTGATCAACAGCAAGTGATGTATCTCGAAGGAGATAAGTCAAGGTTTTGAATGTCAAAGAAAAAGACAGCTCGCCTGTCGCGCCCGTAATAATATCTCATGTTCGGGTATCGCACGCCCGCAGAGACCTCTTCCCGCCCCCAAACAACCACCTCACCTGATCCCCCCCCCCCCCCCCCCCCCCCCCACCACCCCCCCCCCCCCACCACCCAAGCCGCCCACACCCGCGACCACCACCGCAGAAACTCTCCTTTTCGCGGTACCACCCCCCCCCCGAACACCCCCCCCCCCCCCCCCCACCCCCCCCCCCCCCCCCCCCCCCCCCCCCCCCCACAAATGCCCGCTGACGACTCGAGATGAGGAGAGACGGAAAGGTTTCAGGGCGCGGTGGTATAAAGGCAAAATATTTATTTTCTTGACAAGACCGATTATCCGAAAAGTAGTTTGTATGTTTTCTTGAGCTAGATCGAGCTTTTTGTCTCAAGGTGTACGACTCCCCGAGTGGTAGCTTTGGTGCTAGTTTGGCGGAGATGTCACCATGGAAAGCAATATATTGTTTATGGTCATTCATCATCGATGCTGAAGCTCTCGACAACATGCTGATCACCCTCTACACGTGTGTGGGTATACATCACGGCGACATGCGAGGAGGAAAAAGATCGGACAGCCCGAGATCATCAGACCTCAGAACCAAGGGACACACACAACCTCCTCCTCACTCCTAAGCGTCCTGGCCGCCAACATGTCAAGCAAGCAGGAACCGGAACGTGGTTCAGAATGTTCCGTAGTCTTATATAAGCCTCGCACAATATTCACGCGCACAAAGTTTCCCCTTTGCTGTATCGCTTTTCCTTGAACACCTTGTAAACTACCACAGGTACGGATGCTTTACCTTGGTTTGTACGGAGTAACGGCCGCTTCTTAGTACCTTGGCATGGGGTGGGCCCGTGGGTGGTGGATGGCGGGTTCCGTCCGCGCCCCGGCACGAATGGCCCCCATACGCTCACGGACCGGTGATCGCGCGTGTCAGTCGCAAGGACGCCAAAAAAAGAAAGGGAAGGGGGACTTGAGTGAACGCTCGGTGAGAGAAACCACTACCGAATACCGGTCTGAGGACCAAGAGAACGAATGGGATTTCAAAAGATGAAGGCAACCAAGGAGTCTCGTCTAGGAAACATTCCAAAAGAGAAAAGCACCCCGGAGTTGGGACTAATACAAGGTACGCAAACGAACACTGTCCGAGGGTGCATACGGAACGGGTACGGCCACCATGACTCCAGCTACTTTCAGGTCCGAGGGTAAACACCTACCCATCTCACACGAGGTCCCCGTCCTTTCACTCCATACCTTACCTTGCTCTAAACGCCCTCTCTTCGGTCCTTCGGCGCCGAAGAATCGGATCCTAGTGGATGACGCCCCTTCCCACCATTGGAGATCTTGTTTCGGGTGGTATCTGCTGGTGGAGCACGTCGTGGGCCATCATGACGCAGCACGTGGGAAAATCATCTTCGTGCAGTGCGCGCGGACATGCATCCGAATTTAAGCACTCTGATGACAGCAACGAAAAGAGAAGGCTTTGTAAGTCTACGACATACATCATTTCGAATTTACGCCCATTGGGGTGTAGTAGGTTAGAAGCTCTAGACCACTACATAGGCCCAGACCGTCGCTGTCATAATCCTGGATCGCCGCTCATACCGCTTTACACACGCACACGCGCGCACTCAAGGTATCCGTCTTTAGACGCCGATGCCAAACAAAAGGAAAAAAATACCCGAATTAGAAAAAAGTTTCCCCCAGGATCAACACATAAGAGTACACAGTTGGCCGCAGCCATGAACCGGCGCCGTCGCCGTTTAGTCCAATCGTCCAAAATCAGCTCATGACCTGGCCGGAAAGAAAGGAAAGTAAACCGATTTTCTAGTCGAAGCGAAGTGTGTGTGCCTCTCCCCCTTCTCTCCCTCTCACGATGCGGATTTATCGCTCGACTCCTGCTCGGGGTGGTAGTTGGTCTCCCCCAGCATCGCAGTAGGCTGCGTAGTCATAGCCGTCTGCGTGTTGGGCTGCGGCTGCGTCTGTACCGTCGGACCCGTGGGCTGCTGCGCCGGAGGTTGTGACGAAGATCGTGCCGGTGTGCCCGCGGTGGCGGCGTGGAGCCTCTGATCCAACGTCTTCAGTGCCAGCGCTCGTCTCCGCTCCGCCTCGGCTCTCGCACCACCAGGTGCGCCTCTCTGTATGAAGTTGTTGCCTCGTCCGGACGGGACGTTGTCCGGGGAGAAGGGGCTGCATATCCGCATCGCCACCAGCACCTCAAAGATCTGGTTTGAAAGGGTGGCAACGAAGGGCTTCACCGGCGCCGGGAAGAACTCGGCAAATGCAAACGTCTCGCTGGCGTCTCCGCGGAGGGAAGTCGGCTGAGAAGAGTCGAGGTCGGGGAAGACGGTCTTGTAGAAGCGGAGGTATGTCCAGCTCGTTAGCAGGCCGCTCAGAGCAAGGGAGAAAGAGGCCGCCGTCAAAAGCGGCGTCAGAGACAGAATAAAGAAGATGCCGAGATATAATAGAGGGAATCGCGGAACTCGAAGGGAGAGGATGCCGCGGAACAGAGTAACGGTGTGCGCCGGGACGAGCTGGCTAAATGCGACGAGGAAAGAGATCTGCATCGGGATCGTGCCGCCAATAACGGTCAGTCTGTCAAGAGCTTCGTTAGGATTGCTAGCCGCAGACACATAAGGCGAAGATTCACTTACGTCCAACGCTCGTTCCTTGTCAGGGTGAAGAAGATGATCATGAGCGCAAAGGTCAGGACATTGGGAATCAGCGCCGTGACGGCGACAAACTTGGCCAGCTCCGCTGAAGACCAAGCTCTCTCGAGGTATCTACCGCCTTGGTAAATGGTGACGCCGGCAATTCCGAGAGTGAAGATGTTGTTCTCGACCAACGTTGAGGTCAAAAACGTCCACGGATAAATAAGGGAGAGCTGAGGGATGAGCGTCAGGTACGGTATCACGATCTCGGATGTCGCGCTCCATTGACGATAGCGGATCGCCGCGCTCAGAAACGACTGCACGACGAGGACAGCCAGCAGGACCCGGGTGACCGGCGGGATGTTGATTCGGGGCGGCATCTTGGACAGCTTCCGTTCGAGGAGGAGGTCGTCAACAGCTCATCTAGGTTGGGATCGTGAGTTGGGCAAGCTCGCTTTTTTTGCCCTTCAGATATCTGGTTCCTGGAGCCTCACACAAGGGGACACTTGGACGTGACTGGTAAGGCGTCCCGGGGTCGTTTCAGTGGGTCCCTTGAACGGATTAATAGTCATACCGACATTAGAGGTGAGCTAGTCCCGACAGGGGGAAGAGCTGGAAGCTTGGCGCACGGTCCTTGCAGACGGGACTGATTGGATCCCGTGGTCCATTTTGGCGGGTTCCCAGCAAAATTGACACGGGCAGCTTCTCTCCCCGGTTGCGGTACGTACCTGAGAACCACGTTCCCTCGAGACTCCCTCTCGTGCCTCAAGTTCTCTCAACGATGTGTCTCTGACTGCCAATATCATCGTCTGGGATTGTCCTACAGCAGTAGGAATCCTGCGATAGATTTCGACTTGCGGCGGATCAACAGATGGAGTACAACACATAAGAGGCAAGGTGCGGCGCACAAGCAGCAGCACAAACAAGCCCCCGAGTTTTTTCATCTGCAAGGCGATGAACGGGCTGAGAGGGGGGCGTGGGAGTGTTCCACTGGTGGATACGTCGAGTCCTCGATGCGGTCGAAACGGGGAGATCTCGTGGTTCCATCCCTGCAGGGCTTCCAAGGGCACTTGGTTCGGTTGAACGCCAGCTCAGCCCGGCCGTGCCAGTCAGAAGCCGTCGTCCGCCTACTCTAACAGGTGCCACTGTCCCGTCCGGCCTCTCGGCAGGAAAAAGCCTTGTTGTTGTTTATTGTCTTCGGTACAGCCATGACCAAAGGCCATTTCAACGATTCCCTTGGGGGAATGCTGTGACGGATGAGAATGCCTTTTCCCAGCGCAAGCTGTGGCTCACGTTGCTGAGAGCGCCACAGTGCCCAGGCGGCCAAGACTGACTCGAGAAGAGGCCCCTGGACGCCTTCGGACGGTACCGCAAACCTCGGACGGGCTGCCCTAGGACCACCAAGAAAAGGTGCCAGATCGCTCGTTTACTTGACTAGGCCGACTTCGTCCGCTAGGGGAGAGACGCCGTTGCGTTCGCAGTGGCATTACTGAATGTTAGAGAAGGATACAACTGTCAATCTGAAGTACTGGTCGCCACCCAACTCGCAACGAGACGATCGCTTGCCATCGTTGCAACGAATGCCAGCTTTCCCGACACCCAGTCCGCAGTTAGCGGCTCAAGCCCGACAAACCCCTTCCCTCGTCATCTCAATACCTGTTACCCCAGACGCTGCGGCGGTATTGCGCTGCGACACATGTCGCCATTGAAGCAGGAAATCTGAACACCCAGCAAATGGCAACGGGTAATAAACAGCACAAGCGCCAATACGGATACACTACGAATGGGCATCGTTTGAGTCTGTGCCAGGGTGCTAGGGTGATCTCTGTGAGAGCGTGCTGCCATTCCCAGGGGTGTTTCCGAACAACAAAACGTCGGCCAACGTTGACGGGACGGGGTTTGTCCACAAAACGAGGTCCCATTCGGCTTGGCCTGATGTGCCGGTGTGACTGGCCAGCAGTGAGTGCTCACAGACAGGCGGTGGCAGGGGGGCCTGAAGAAGTCCCCGGAGCTATTAAAGATCGAAGGCCATGCAGCCATCACATCCTTGTCCACACCCACCCATGGCGCCTCGCAACCAGCGGTTCCCGCCAGGAAGGCCCCTTGATGGGCAATGCCACGTACACACAAGAGATGACCTTTCCGGGCAGACAGACGAGAGCTTGGTAGAGGGGAGAGAACGCAGGATGCGAGGAGTACCGAGAAAGGCAACGAACGCTTGAATCGACGACGACAGTGGCATTTCGTCGTCAAACATACGTCGTTGACACAACAAAGCGCGGCCACAATCCTCAAGACAAGAGAGGTTTGTTCCGGCTGTCTCGTCCGACTCCGACCACGAGCGTTCCCCCCAGCTGGTGTAATGATTAGTATCCCCCACTCGGCACCGTACCTTGCCTTGCTCATTCAAGGTTTGGCGGTACGTACATGACGGGTAAGAATTGGAAACAGACGACAAACCGCTGCCAATCTGCGCGGGCTGCAGCCCCAAGAGGCGCGGCCCTCTCTCGGCATTAGCCTCCAGGGCGGTGGCCGTATGGGGCAAAAAGAGAGAAAGAAAGCCATGTACGTATCGATTTGTGCATACAAGCTAAGCCGTGCCGCAATCAAGACAGACGACGGTTGGGCGGAGACGTCAGAACACACACAAGCACCAGTGGTCCCAGTGCACCAGACAAGCATAGTCTGGCGCTGCTGGAAACTGGTCCCGTTGCTCGTCTCATCTTCCCTCCTTAGCCTGGCACGCCTGGCAAGTCTGTTTCTGCGGCGTGCTTCCGCGCGTGTCTGGCCCTGCTTTAGTTGTGCACCTTGGGTCGTGGAACAATGCTGGGGGCCAGAAACAGCCACCAGGTTCACAAGACTGGGAATGTTTCTGGGCCTCCCGCCTGCGTGTCTCTTCTGATCTCCGACCGGTGAGGTGGAGATGGGTATCCGTAGCGGGATCAAGGCACTCGAAAGGGGAGGAGGGATGGGAGATGCCGGAGCACGGAGGCAGGTCACTGGTCACTGGCAGTGGTGATACAAAAACTGCATTCGATTGGCGCAGATGCGCTAGAAGCGAACGTGCGGCGGCGCCCGCAATGGGCAGATATGACGGACGGCAGAGTCATGGAGTTTGCACGAGCAGATCAGCTGGGTTGAAGACATTGGAGGTTTTCGGGTTTTCCCATTGCATCCAAGAAACTGGGGAGCCGCCTTACGTAAGGTGGGACTTGATGGTGGGCTCGACATGTACAAAAGCTCTAGCCAATCCGTGCATCGCTCTCCCGTGTCTGTATGTACTTTTCAATATATCTTTCGACTCTACAGATTCATCCTGCGTACGGATACGTACGAGGTACTCCGTACCTGTGTCATGGTCGGTACGGAGTACGGAGCACCTTGAAAGTTCAACGTCTCCAGCCCTCTGTCCGTCACGGTCAAGCTGCCCGTATCCCTACGTCTGTCAGTCAGGAAGAGCCCGGCATCCACTGTGCCTTGCTTGTTCTGGACCCCTGAAACCATCGAGGTTTTTTTCTTCTTCTTCTTTTCTTCTGGTGCGGCCACGATGAACGCTCGTCGATATGAACGCCGGTACCTAGGCATCGATCCGTGTGCACCTTGGAGAGAATTCGCTTGCCCCGTAGTCAGCTAGATGACTAGAGATCGACACACACTGAGCAAGAGATTGAGCGCAATCGCGCACTTTTGATACCCAGTCGTGCCGGTGCTATTTTGGATGGGAGTGTGCCAGGTAGGAGGATCCATCCCCGGTGCTCACATTGCACAACAGCATGGAGAAGCCTAGCGAGAAGCGAGCGACGCATTATGTATGTACTCCCGTTACTCCGTACTCCGTAGTTGTACCTCTCGAGATCGAGAGAAAAAAAGCACGCACAGCCGGCTGGGCCCCCAGGCCTGGAAGGCAAGGCACGAGGCAGGGAAATAGGGCAAAAAAAATAAGATAGAGAGGTAAAATGTACTTTTACGTATGCGCGAGTATGAGACGGTACTTGGGACAAAGCGCAAGGGGCGGCATTGTGACTTGGGGGTGTCAGGACCACCTTCAAAGTGCCCCGAAATGTGGCTCTCCCGGGAACCCTGTCTTGAGTAGCAGCCCCAAACACCAAACCCCAAGTTCGATGGACCACAACAACAAATTGATGGACGGGGGACCACGGGATTAGCAGAGAATTATCGTTTTCTCGAAGGCTGCCCGCCCCTTCTGCCTCCCCCTCCCCAGACACAATTCTCTCTGGGACCTCCCCTGATCTCAGTGGTGGAAGAAGGTACCTTTCGAGTCGTCGTTTCCTTCTGCCCGGCACTGCAGCAAGTTTTTCGTTCTTCAATTCTAGTCGAGAGAACCGCGCTCCGAAACATGGGAACACATACCTAGTGAACAACGGGGTAAGTCAAAGAGACTGGCTGCCGTCTCGTCATTGTCGTGGTCGTCGTACCTAGCGGCTGGCCCAGATTTCTCAATGGGATCGCTGACTGGCTAGTGATTTCGAGGAACGGTCCAAGAGGTACGCTGAAGGTTAAGTACCTTGGATCATGCACTTTGGGGCCTTGGAGCCGGCTCCACACCCGCCCGACAAGTACGGTACGTACCTTTCGTGGGTAGGGACGCAGTAAGGTATGTATGCTTGTTCCTCCAGCTTCCCGTCCCAGTTGATGGCAAGCCCAGACGTGTGAAAAGTCTCCAAAGATTTCGTGTGTCTTGGTTGATGCTGGCATTTGCGTTCATCAGTCTTTCCATTGCCTGGGACTTGCAAAGCCTCGACCAGGGTCCGGGGCCTCAGGCTGGTCCCTTTCCCTTCTTCCTTTCCTTCTCCCCTACCACCCCCATCTGGCGAGTTCCCTGCTGCTCCTGATCCGACTGCGACAGGTGTGTGTGCGTATGTGTGTGCAAATGTGTGTGTGTGTGCGTGCGCCGCCTGCAACTGCATCGTCGTGCCGCTGCACCGATGGGGACGGAGGCATACATCGGGTCGTTGGTGGTCGCGGTAGTGTCGAGGGCAACCGTACGGCACCTTGAGCAGAGAAAAGAAAGCTGCTGGTGATCGACGGGACGGCGGTAGGCAGGTAAGTTTATGGGGTGAGTGCATCAGCTAGTGAGTTATGGTATGGATTTGGTAGTGTAGGTATCCGTACTCTACCGTGGTGTATGGTACGTTTGGGTAGTAGTAGCCAGTATGCCACTGCCAGTTCCACGCGCATTTCGGCTTCCATCCGTCAAATGATGCTGCGCAGGTGGCAGCTAAAGACGGGACAGTGAGTGCAAGCAATGCGGAGGCAACGCCGCGAAGCCGCGACGCAGAGAGCGAGGAAAAGTGTATCGTGCTCATCCCGTCATGCCCCAGTCCCAAGTCCCAAGTCCCAGATCAAAGATGTACTCGGT